AGATCCAGGTGCTTCACAACCCAGAGACCTTTGGGAGGGCGATTATCCATGATTTTCTGGGCCAAACAAGCAGGGTGTAATTTTTCACTGTGGATTTTTAAGGGAAAATTAGTAACATTGTGTCCACATCACTTCACACGCTCCCAGTATTCCAGCTGGACATCATCTTTCTCCTCACCTCAGTGGATATTTTTGGCTCTTACCATGACTTCCCAAGATAAAAATGACATTTGTATATGACCAAGGCTTGATGTCAAGAGCATTGAGCTCATTTCCCAGTGCACTGCCAGCAAGGAAGAGATTTCTGATGCCATCTTCCCACAGGGGGTGGAGCAGCCCCATCCCACCCTGCCCAAGGGCAGCTCCCCAGTGCCACATTCCTGCAGGATTCAGGCTGTGTGACTCCAGCAGATACAGTCCTTGGGGGAGTGAGGGAGGACAGGGCTGATTTGGGTTTGTTCTCTTCACTTCCACAGCCATCAGGCTTGTTTGGGAGCATGCCCACTTTCAGTTTGTGTCCATGTGGTGTTTGCAGCTGTGGCTGTTCACACATCTGTTTGTGCAGCTCTGGATGGAGCCCAGCTCCATTTCTACAGGCTTTTGGCTGATTAATTTACAGCTGAAAAAAAAAGGAAAAAAAAAAAAAAAAAAGAGAAAAGAAGTGTGTCAGTACTTGTTTGTAGACATAACATAATTCCTGTGACATTCACTGCACACTTCCAGAGGTACCTGCAGGGATCAGGGCCTGGCAGAAGGCCAGGCTGCTGCTGGCAGCGTCCCAGCCCAAACAGGAACAGGAAAACTGCTCAACTAGCAAAAGGGATTTTTTTTTTTTAATTCTTCCTGTCCTATTTCTTAACTTTTTACCATTTTCTCCCCCCTCCTTTCTGGCAGTACACCCAATTCCCAGCAGCAGGTTAAGGCGCGGGTTGGGTGCCAATGCTCTAAGCAGATCTTCCACCCCGTGTGCCGGAAAAACACCACGGAATACATCTCACCCTGCTTTGCTGGCTGCACCAACAGCACCACCAACCCCTCCAACCCCAGACAAACGGTGAGTAAAGCAACTGGTTACCAAAGCAACCTTGCTGGGAATAGTGAAGTGATGCTGCTGGAACCCAGCAAATGCCATAACGGGGTGGAATCTTTTCCACCCCGTGTGCTGAGCCCCGGGAAGGTGACCTGGAGAATTGCTGTAAGGCTCTGGGAACCTGCTTGGAGGAACAGGGATGGTGGCAAATCCCATCACAGGATGCCATGGCTGTGCCTTAAAATTGGAGCTGGTGCTCTTATGGGCGTCCTGCACAGGGATATTGGGATGATTTGTCCCAAGAAAGCTGATCCTGGCGCTGGGAGTCTGACGTCTGTTTTGTTCCAAACATTTCCAACAGATCTACCACAACTGTTCCCTGAATGGGAATGAGCTGTTCTCCACTTACACGGGCTCTTGTCCAGTCAGCTGCTCCCATATGCTCCTTCCTGCCATATTCCTCATCTCCTTTGCTGCCCTGGTGGCCTGCCTGTCCCACAACCCCCTCTACATGATGGTGTTACGGTGAGTGGTGTGTGGGCTCCTCAGTTCCAGGGTGGAGCCGATGTTTCCCCATGCTGGGATCAACGGGATGTCATAAACGTGCAACCAGCCCAAGTCTTGGCCAAATCCAGGGCCAGCAGCTCTGACCTCCCGTTGTCTTCTCCCCTGCAGGGTGGTGAACCAGGATGAGAAGTCATTTGCCATCGGAGTCCAGTTCTTACTGATGAGACTGCTGGGTGAGAGTCTGAATGAGGCTGGGGGGCTGCTGGGGCTGCGAGAGGCACTGAACCCCTCGGGATCAGCAGCTGACCCCATCCTCTCTCCCCACCAGCCTGGCTGCCGGCCCCTGCCATGTTCGGAGCCCTCATCGACTCCTCCTGCATCTACTGGCAGCAGCAGCAGTGCACCCCGGGCCGCTTCTGCGCCTACTACAACAACGATTTCCTCCGAAACAGGTACCCTGTGCCCTGGGCAGGGGCCCCAGCCAGCCTGGGGCGGCTGGAAGTGCCAGCTGCAGACCTGGCATGTCCCTGCTCTTCTCCCGGCAGATACCTGGGGCTGCAGGTGGGCTACAAGGTGGTGGGCACCGTGCTGCTCGCCCTCATCAGCTGGAAGGTGAAGAGGAGCAAGGAGTACAACGTGCAGGAGAAGGCGGCGGGGCTGGTGTAGCCCCCGAGGACTGACTCGCACCCCCATCACCCACTGCCACTACTTTGTCTTGTTTGGGTTTGTTTTACTTCCCACGGGAGCGACTCCGCAGCTCCGAGCTCCTCTCCCGCAGCCCAGGGGCTCCCGGCGAGGGATGGATGCTCCGGGCCAGCCCCGGCCCGGGAGTGGCGGCTCCCAGGGGCTCCAGCCGCGCTCCCCGACACCCTGGGAGGGGCAGCCCCGGCCGGCTGGAGCAGGAGGCAGAGGGGGCTGGAAGGCAGGGACCCGGAGAAGTGCCTGCTGCGGGCCATGGCCCCGCTCCGGGGTGACATTCCCGGCCGGGACAGCAGCAGGGGAGGTGGCTGCCAGCCCGGAGGGGCTGCCCGGTGTCCCCCCGCCCGCAGCCCCCGCACAGGTCAGCAGGGACACCGCACACGTGTTGGGACAAAACATCACGAGGGGTTTATTGCAGATCATCTGGGGTTTGTTGCTCTTTTTATTTTTTAAATAAAAGGTCACTTTTCCAACTGTGGTGCGTTCTTGGTCTCCCCCCACCAGCAAGACAAGCCCTGGGGAGGCTGCAGGTCCCAGCCTGGCCCATACTGAGCACATTCCAGCTGGGGGGACATTCTTCTGCAGCTCCACCGGTGATGGGGGAGGGCTGGTAGGGGCTAGACAGAGCCCAGGGCCGGCCCAGGAGTCCTGCCTGCAGTCCCATGGAACCTGCCAGCCCTGCCTGCATCTCCCTGATGGGCATGGGGACACAGGCAGGGGCTGCAGGCACAGCAGAAGGTTTTGACCCGAGGTTCTCATCCCTGCCAGGTGTATTGGCACAGAGCAGTTCTGGTAGCCAGTTGCCCGAGCTGGTGCCTCAGAGGGACCATGAACAAAGAAATGCCTGGCAATTAAAGAGTTTCATTCCCTCTCCCTCACACCATGTCCTGAGCAAGAGCCTGGGTCCTTCTCACCCTTCACATTGCTGTTTTGTTTGTTTCACACCCCTCGGGTGGGTTTTGGTGAGGGTTTAGTGGGTTCTGTTAGTCCACACCGTGATGGGGTTGTTACAGTACACAAACCACAATCTGCTAGAGCATTTTAAAGTAATATTTTAACTGCAGCTTTGCCTGTTCTAACTATTATTAATGATCTTTACAATTATTATTGATCAGATTGTCAGCTCCAGGTTTTCTTCTGATCCATCTCTGCCTGACACAGCACAACCTTAGGGTTCACATCAAGTTCAACCCATGGCCTAACAAGTCCATCTACTTATGTCAAGCACTGAGCTACTTCAAAATCCTGTAATTTTTTCAGTGCAGTGGGCTCTGGGCAGGATGCAGTGGGTTTGGGGCGTTCTTTCAGGGGTTTTATGGGTTGAATGTATTCAGGCCCTGCTGTTCTTACCCCATGGCTTTTCCCTGTGATCGTGGTCCTGCAGCATCCATATTCATGGAAGGAGTCAGGGGAGAGGACAGGAGCAGACCTGCCCTGGATTTGCTCCGGATCACCAAAGTCTTCACAAAAAAGAGCTCTCTCCATGTTATCCCTATTCCTGTTCCACCTCTACCTGGCAGATTTCCCCTGAACACCCACCTGACCTTCTGTAACTTTCTCCACTTCTTTCACACCAGGGGTAGCACCCAGCAGGACAAGCCCCAGGAGGGGCTGGTCACAAAGTGCAGGAGGTGGCCCAATGGGGCCAACAGAAGCTCCTGGCCCCAAAGGTGCCAGGGTGGTGGCTCTGTGCACAGGGACGGTCACAGCTGGAACACCTGTGTTGGGGAGCCTTGGAAACCACCCCTTGGGATGCTGCTGTCCAGGCATGGTTATTTTTGCTTTTCTTTGCCTTTCAGCAATCTCTCCTCCTCTTTCAGGTTTAATGCTGTCCTGGTTATTACTGTGCTCGTCATTCTCCTCCAAAAACATCCGTCTTTTCCAGGGGAACAATTCAGAGAATGAAAGACATAGACCAAAAGAGCTTTAGCACAGTGAAGGCCTCAGCCCCTGGAGATGTGTGAATGCAGCGGGCTCCTGACTCAGGGTCAGGCAGCTGCAGCAAGAAGGGGCTGAGTTTATCACATCCCACTGTCCTGCCAAAGCCATCCCAACACAGCCCTGCTGAGCTGCAGCCTCAGGAGCAGCACTCCCAGCCAGCAGAGCCACGGGCTGGGAACAAGGTCAGGAGAGCAAAGAACAAAGCATGGAGCTGACTGGGGAATCAAGAAAAACAAGAAAACAACACTCAGAATTTCCAGTTCTGCTCTTTTCCCTCAGCCACTGGGGAAAACCAGCCCTGAATATTTAAATATTTAATAAAATTGTGGAGTGAGGCCCAAAAAACTCCTGGAGCTCTGCTCTGTGCTCCAGCACGAGCGGCTCCGTGGCCGTGCAGCCACTCCCCAGCCTGGGAAAGCTGAGGCATCTCATCTCCATCCAGCACAGCCACGGGTGCCACAGCCACCTCCAGGGCAGAGCAGTGCTGCTCTGCCACCACAGCCACCACAGCTGGCTGGAGCTTTCCTGGGCACATCACCAAAGTGCCTTTCAATTATGATTTGTGGGTGCTTTCTGCTATGTGATTATCAATTTCTCAATTAGTTGGACCAAGAAGTAAATATAAAACCAAAATAAAAACCAACCCCAAAGCCCTCTGTGTGCAGAAAACAATGTTTTTTGACAACACAAACCTGGCCACAGAGCAGGAAGGTTGATCCCCAGCATTGTGCTGAGCAGGAGCAGACCCCATCCATGTGGATCTGACACTGCTGGGAAGAGCCAAAGTAAACACACAGACTGAAGCAAGACTTGAGAACAAACATTTAAGCATAAAAGAATTTACTTAAGGAATACTTTTTAAAATAATAACTTAAAACCCACCACGGCCTCATGGTACCTCCCCCCTTAAGCTGAGGCTGGTGCTCGGCTTCTGCATGTTTGCAAGAACAATCACCCAAAGAAACAGCAATTTTCTGCCCAAAATCACTTCAGCATTATGGATCTGAAGCAGGCAGCCCAAGACCTCCAGCTAAAGGAGTTCAAAGCATGACAAACACGTTCCAACAGGACTCTGCCTGCAGGAAACAGAAGAATGTAACATGTTTGGTAAATATAACCCTCCCCACCTCCGGCATGGATGGTTCCTGAGGCTGAAAATGCAAGGACCAGCTTCATTATACGCACAGGGTTTTGCTGAGGGCTGTTCCTGCTCTTCCCAACACTTGGCAATGGTGCAGGAAGGCAGGAAAAGCCCCAAAGAAAGAAAAGAACACAACAGATGAGTGATGAAGGACTCAAACCACAGGGGATAGTGGCCTACAAACTACAAAATGGGTCTGCCAGGAGCCAGCTACCCCCACAACCCTAAACAACAGGGGAAGCCACAAAGGGAAAATGTCACTGCGCTAGAACTCTGTAATGTGACACAAACTGGGAAGATCTCCTATTTCTTTCCCCATTCCTTGAGCATCTCTGCCACAAGGAGGAAGCACACCCACGTGCTGGCAGCTCCTTGACTTTCCCTCTCACTCTGCCATAAGTGCTGACTGATTAATTACACACAAAGCAAGCCCTTCCTGCAGCCACTGGAGCAGGGGAAGCAGAAGATTGCACAGCAAATGCCTGGTACAACAGCTGCCAGCTGCAGGTACAGATCTGAAATTGTGCCCATCTCACAGTTTCATGCCATGACCCCCTGTAGCTCTGCCCCTCTTAGAGTGTTTGTTCCTGGCTGTGGGAGAAGGGCCTGGAAGGAAAAGCAGAGTGCAGCTTTCAGGACACAGCCCTCAGCTGAAGAAAAACTCCCAGGAGCTGATCAAGAGAGGAAATCACCAGACATGGGCACAGAACTGAGCCCAGGGAGTAAAGCAGGGCAGTCTGGTTTGGGCATTTCACACTCTCCCTGCCCCACAGAAATGGGGCTGCATCAGTTTGGAACAATGGGAAGACAGACACAAAGAGGAAATAAGCTTTTTATACTCTCTCAATGCCTGCCCAACTTAGGGAGCTTGTGCAGTGCTCCCCAGCAGCCCCATCCATAAGGTGGTCAGGGGCTCTGAGAGGTAACAGGGGTCTAAACCATGGCAGGAAACGACAGGCACACTCCAGCCTCTAAAACTCACCTGTCAGTGCACCCCTTCCTAATTCGCTAGGCAACTACAAGATGAAAAACCTAAAGATTAAAGAAAAAGGAAAGCCCAAAGGTTCAGCAGCCCAGAGGAGGGCAAGGGAAGAGGGGAGAGGATAAAAACATTGCAGCATGAAGGGACAGTCAAGAGGGAATCACACCAGCAATCGTCATGTTGCTCCCAAGCCCACAAGCAGCAGAAGACACCACAGTGCTGACTTCCAGCTGAAGTTCCTTCTTTTTACATCAAGATGAGATTTGAGTGCTCCAGACCATCTTTTTCCCTTCAGCCCCCCAGCCCTGTCCATCTCTGTTCAGGCCACCTTCACCAGCCACTTCTGGAGGCCCTCCAAGTCAGCCTCTCCCTCCTCTCCCTTGCTGCCTCGAGCACTGCACTCCACAAACTCCACCTTCATGGGCAGCTGGGAGAAGTCGAAGTCCTTGCCCTTCTTCCCCAGCTGGGCAGGGCCCCCTGTGGCTGAGCCATCCAGGCTGGTGGGGGCTGCAGAGCGTGTCACCCGCAGGGTATTGCTGCAGGGAGAGAAGGGAAAGGGTCAGCACCTGAGAACCAGGGGAGTATCACCTGCACCATGGCTCTGGGATGTTTGGGCTGTCAGCAGCATGCCAGCTACAGCAAGGACACAAGGCCCAGCACTGCCCTGTGAGGCTCAGCCAGGGCCTCTGGCCACTGTTGGAAGGCACAAGTGCAAAGGTTCAAAGGAGTAGGAGGGTACTCAAGGAAAGGTGTTCAAACAGGTTTGGTTTTGCAATAAAGGACAGCAGAAGTCAGATGATGATGATGTCCTTATCCCAGTTTGTCCACGGTAAACACTGGAATAATGGTGCCTAACACAGCACATTAACTACCTAGAAATCCAGCACCTACACACAGGTAGCTGGCAAATGCTCCACATCAGAAAAAGCAACCCTTATTTTCCTGGAGAATGTGAATATGTGGCAACTAACTGCTCTGCTAAAAAGCAGAAGGTTGGGTATGCAGCCTGGAGGAGGCACAGCACAAACACCCCTGCTGCCGTCTGCTGGCCAAAGGGGTTATAGATCCAGGGAATCATTTAGCTTGGAAAAGCCCTCTAAGACCATGGAGTCCAACTGTAAACCCAGCACTGCCAAGCCCCAGACCAAACAGACTGCTCCCAGCTCCACAGGGAACTCAGACACAGCTCAAGGGAGCTCACTGAGCACTGAGGGAAGAGAAAAAGGAAAAGCTCAGAGGGACTGAGATCCCATTCCATACTTACAGCTCTTTCTCCAGCTGTTGCTGGATAAGTTTTGCTGATTTTGCCATTGTGACATCTGGAGAGAAAAGAAGAAAATCAGCTCTTTGGTTGTCAGAATTCAGAACCTGGTTACTTCCCCTAAAGTAAGGCCAGTTCATACTGTGCAGTCACTGGAGCTACCAGGACAAGGACAGCCGTGGGATGAGGGATGCTGGAGCTTTGGGATCACAGGCATGAAGGGGAACAACCCAGCAGTCTGATACAATGCAGGGAATTAACTTCTTGCTGGGCAGGAAGATAGTTCAGAGGATGGGTTTGATGCACCAGCACTCCCTCCTGCCCTGTGCTTTCCACCTGTGGCACGCAGAGCTGTGAAGGCCTCAGGCAGCTCCTGAGTTAAGCGCAGGAAATAATTACAAAATCCAGATCTGATAGTGCCCCAAAACATCCAGCTGTTAACAGAGGGACCCACACTTTCACTGTAGAACCTGTAGGGATCTCAAAATAGAGTCTTTTCCAGTAGCTGGGTATTCAGGCTACTCCAGAGAAAACATGAAACCCTGGCAGCTGAACATTTTAACTCTGAAGCTGCCAAGTGCATAGGGATAGTTCACTGTGCTCAAGCTGATCCTAGTTCCTCCTGCCTGGAAACTGAGGAACAGCTCTGCAAAAAGCAAGCAGGAAAAAAAAAACCACACAAAAGCCACCTGCATTACCTACACCCACCCAAAGAGCTGCAGCTCTCCCAAGTGGTCTTTCACACACTCCTGCTGAGTAGCCAGAGTTTAAACCTAAATTCCAGCCTTCCTTTTGCTGCAATCCCAACTCCCAAGTCCAGCAGCCGTGGCACGAAGCCCTGCAGGCCTGGCCAGGCCCAGCCCAGGGTACCTTGCTTGTTGCAGGCGATGAGCAGCGCGGGCGCGTTCCTGAGCACGGTGCTGTCCACCAGCACCTGGTACAGGAACTCTGCCACATCCTTCACCTCCCGCTGGAAGGCCACGCTGTCCACCACGAACACAATGGCTCTGGGGAAGAGGGAAGGACAGGTGCTGGGGATGAAGTTCTGCACTCACCTTCCCCTGCAAGCATTCCAGCCTGGGCTGAGATTTCCACATCTGGTCTGACCCAGCCCAAGCGTAGGCTCGCAACATGTGCTGCCTGAAACACATCCCATGGCCAGCTCCAGCAGGAACTTTTCCCCTGTCTGCCCCAGGATATCCCACATCCCCTAGACCTCCCTGCTGCAGTGGCTTTGCCTCCTGGTGCACCACAAGCACAGGTAAGCAAGAAATTCATGATGCGATTTTGGGATTGTCCTGTGCAGGGTCAGGAGCTGAACTCGATGCTCCTTGTGGGCCCCTTCCAACTCAAGATATTCTGTGAAGGCAAAGTAAAAATTAACCAGCACCACCCCACAGCAGAGCTCTGACTCTCAGGGCAGCCCAGCTCACAGCATTCCCAGCACCCTCATTTTATTTGGTTTATCCCTTTCCAAAGGATGATTCAACCCCCCCTGCCCTGCTGATCCCCTCCAGGTTACCTGGCTGCGGCCTTGAACCTCTCCAAGAACTGCAGCCTCAGACTCTCATGGCCTGGAAGGTCGATCAAGGTCACATTAGTGCTCTGGAACACAGGCAAGAAGGAATTAACACCTGATCCGAGGGTTCCTGTGGTCACAGACTGGGAAAAGCAGTCTGACCCTGGATTTGTGTCCTGAAGGCACAACCCCATCTGCCTCTGACACAGAACACAACCCTACAGTCTCACCTGGTCACACACCAAGCCTCCCTAAATACACCAAACCTTGCTGGGAATAACACAAAAATGCCTTGGCAAGAGCCTTTTTTAACTGGAGGCTGCAAAGGTTTCCCTTCCCAGGAAAGGCAAGAGCCAAAGCCAGGACGTGGGAGAGAACACTCGGCCGAGCAGGGCCACGTCACTGCTCTCCAGATAAGGCTGCAGGAGCCCCTTCCTGCCCACTGCTCTTGGATTTTACTGGGAACCTCGGCTATGGTTAAAAAAAGAATCAAAAAAGCAATCTGCCTTGCAAATACTTGTCTGATCAACGAAAGAGACACAAAACAGGAAAATTTTTTCAAAAACCCTGCACGCTCTTTTACAAAGTTTTTAACCTCATTATCGCTGTTGTTAATAACAACTGAGAAGGTGAAGTCACAAAACCATCCTCTACTTTCACAATTCACCATAAGTTAAGGTGCTGCCAGCATTCTGCTCTCCCTGCCACATGTGCAGCCAGCATAAGAGACTTCCAGAATGAATGCTCAAAACCTGAAAACTCCCAGATCTGTGAACATAAAAATAACAGCACCTAAAGTCCAGGACCTAAAAATAACAAAATCCTTTCTGGGACCACATAAAGTCCAGCTGGCGCCTCTGCTTAAACCCGATAAAGCTTTTAATTTCAGGTTTTCTTGGCAAAAACAGAAATTACTGCTGAGGAAATAAACCAATGCAACAGAACACTGAAACCCCCAGAGCTCCCTCCTGCTCCAACCCACAGGTGTAGTTTTCAGTCAGAAATGTTTCACTGTTTTACAAGCAAAGGAAAAATAACCTGTGAAGCCCACTAATACATTCTACATCCCAGTACTGCGTGACTTTCTCAGCATGCCACGCCTGGAAAAAGTCCTGTCCTGCGCTCAAACGGGGGCCTGAGCAGCACAAAAATTCCCAGGTTTAGCAGGGGGAGCAGGAAAAGGATGCACCCAGAGCTGAGGCCGTGCACTCACCTTGTCCTGGCTGAGCCTGTAGACGGCAGAGCTGTCGGTGATGGAAGTCTGGGTGTCGCGGTACCGCCCCGACAGCAGCTGCGGGAACAGGCATGGCCTCAGAACCAACAGCCCGGGAGGCCCCCACCCCAAAACACACCAACACCACCTTCAGCCTCCTCAGAAACTGAAATTCTCTGACGAGGTAATGGGCATCAGAGACCTGATCTCAATTTCCTGCAGGAAACTACTGCCGGGGTCACTTCCTCCACTTAATTAAAAAATGGTCACTAGGAAAGTAACTGCATATTTAAATTGTGAATCTCCAATAAAACAAGAAGGAAGAGAGCGTGCCTGCAAATCCTTCGGGGTTTTCCAGCTGGGACCATGGTAAGCATGGCTGTGCCCCTTTCTTTTTCAGACTTGGCGGTAACAGAATATCCAGGGTTGGAAGGGATCCGCCAGGATCATCAGCCCAACTCACGGCCCTGCAGACACCCCAACAATCCCAGCCAGTACCTGAGAGCATTGTCCAAACTCTCCTGGAGCTCTGGCAGCCTTGGGGCCGTGCCCATTCCCTGGGGAACCCGTCCATTGCCCCACCACCCCGATATCCAACCTCAAGTCCCTTGGCACAGCTCCAGCGTTCCCTGGGGTGCTGTGCCTGCTTACAGAGATTGGAGCTGCCGCAGACTGCGGTGCGCTCAAGTATCCCTAAGCCTTTTACTATGACAAATTCAAACCAAAACGCAATTTCCTTGGACGCTCCGTGGTAGACACAACTCGCTCTCCATCCCTCCTTACAGCTACAAACCCCACCTTTTAAGATCCATTAAAAGACTACAAACCGAACTAAAGGGAACTCCCGCCCCTCCGTCCCACGGGACGCAAAACAGCTTTTCCCAGCTTCCCAGCCGCTCTGTCCCCAGCCTGGAGCATCCCACGGGGCTGTTTTGTCCCAGGCTGTTTGTACCAGGCATCAGGAAGCAGAGCCAGGCTTCCCACAGTGGTGCAGGGTGAGAAGTGACGGGAATACATTGAATACATTGAGGCCCCCGCGCCCTCCCCGCTCACCCGCGCGAACAGCAGCGTCTTCCCCGCGTCGCAGAGGCCCAGCAGCAGCACGGCGCTCCGGCCGCTCCTCCTGCCCTGCACGAACCGCCAGATCACTGCGGGAGAGAGGAGCCTGAGGAGAACGGGACACCCGAGCCCAGCGGGACACCCGAGCCCAACGGGACACCCGAGCCCAACGGGACACCCGAGCCCGCCGGCACCGCCGCGCCCTCAGCAGGCCGCGAGGCGGGGGGGAAAGGGAGGTTCCCGCAACTCACGGAAGGTGACGGCGACGACGATGAGCGCGACGAGCACGGAGAGCGCGGCGGGGCCGCCCAGCTCCCGCCGCAGCGCCGCCAGGTGCGGCTCCAGCCCGCCCGCCATGCCGCACGCGTGGCCGCCCCCGCCTCCGGCCGCGCGGCACGCCGGGAAGGGCGGGCGCGGGGGCTCACGGGAGATGTAGTTCTCCCCCTGAGGCGCTGGGACCGCAGGGACGCCCCGGGGGAGCCTGGAGAAACATGGAATGGTTTAGGCTGGAAAAGCTCCGTGACCCCAGCGCTGCCAGGGCCACCGCAGAGCCGTGTCCCGAAGTGCCACGTACACAGGGCTTTTAAATCCCAGGCAGATGTGCCAGGGCTGGGCAGCTTGTTCTGCAAAGAAGAAATTCCTGATGTCCAACCTGAACCCCTCAGCACAACTCAAGGCTGTTTCTCCGTGTCGTGTTCACTGGGAGCAGAGCCCAAACCCCCGGCTGTCCCCTCCTGTCAGGAGCTGTGCAGAGCCACAGGGTCCCCCCGTCAGCTTTTTCTCCAGGCTGAGCCCCTTTCCAGCCTCCTCAGCTGTCGGAACTCAAAATGTCCCTCAGACATTTTCAGAGGTTCCAGGCCTTGGTCAGAAGCATTTTAGACCCTGGCAAGCAGCAGAAAACAGCTATGATTTTAAGTTTGAACCATAGAATGAATTACCAACTTTAAAGGTAGAATAAGCAGTCACAGATAGTTAAATAGTATAGTAAAAGTAGTCACAAATTAGAGGCTAAATTTTTTTAGTATTGTACAGGGGGGTTTTAACACCTGTACAGGGGGGTTTTACTTTGTACAGGGGGGTCAGGAGTTCTAAGATAGAAGAAAGTGGGCCTAATCCTATTCTTCCTTCTTCTTCTTCCTTACCTCCATGTTCTTAGTAATGTTAGCATTTTTCTATTAGTTTAAGCTGGAGACACACTGTTCAACGTAAATGATAAATATTAGCACATTATTATAAATATAGTACACGTAATTTCTAGTATATAATGTTTATACCATCCCACTGAGGGCAGAGCCCCGCACACTGCCCTGCAAAACAAACCTGCGGCAGGGCAGCAGAACATGTTATAGATAAACAAAAATAAACAACCTTAAAAACAGCACAAACAAACTATAGCTTCTTCTTTAGCAACAGAGCAAAAAGACAAATACTTTCTACAATCTCAAAATCATCAATACCCACAAATTCCAACACTCAGCCACTCCTGGGGCTCCATTCCCTTCCCAGCTCCGTTCCCTTCCCTGGACACGCTCCAGCCCCTCAATGTCCTTCCCGAATTGCTGGGCCCAGAAGTGTCCCCAGGGCTGGAGGTGCCTCACAGGTCCCAGCCCAGGGGACAGTCACTGCCCTGGGCCTGCTGGACCCACCATGGCTGGGACAGCCCAGGGGCCATTGGCCTCTTGCCCACCTGGGCACACCTGGGCTCGTGTCTGGCCGCTGTCACCAGCACCTCCAGGGCCTTTTCCAGCTTCCCAGCCGCTCTGTCCCCAGCCTGGAGCATCCCATGGGGCTGTTTTGTCCCAGGCTGTTTGTACCAGGCATCAGGAAGCAGAGCCAGGCTTCCCACAGTGGTGCAGGGTGAGAAGTGACGGGAATACATTGAAAGGAAGCAGGTTCCAAGTGGATATGAGAGGAATGTTCTCCTTTGGGAGCTGCCAGGAGCAGGAGAGCCTGCCCAGGGAGTTGAAGCCCTGAGCACACTGGCTGATTCTTTTCCTTGAGAAGGAGATTGGACTGGAGATGCTCAGAGGTCTCTTCCAGCTTGAGTGATCCTCTAGTGAGGTTCTTTTTATCCTTTAATGCCTTCTACCTATGGGACAAGGGCTTACACCTGACATGAAATGCAGATGGTGCAGCTTTTTTGGGGGGAAGTTTTCCAACTTTCTTACTTTCTAACTTAACATTAGGCATACTGAATTGTAGAAACAGTCTGTTAGAGGCACTGATTCTCTTTCTTTGCTAATTTTGAAAAATGGGTTAAAAACCCACCTGTCCAGTGTATTCATTCTAGGTAAACCAAGGGACTACATTTCATCCTTTCCTGTCACATTCTGCATTTCTGCCATCCAGGGGGGATTTTCAGCCAGGCTGGTAGACTTCTCACCACACTTACCATATGCATCCAAAAATCATCAAAATATTCATTCCCTCAAAGCCAGGAGCTTTGTGCTCTCAGCAGCTCCTCCACACTTGCCTTGACAGCATGTCTGGGACACCCTGGATGAGCCCAGGCTGTTCCAGGTTTGGGACACCCTGGATGAGCCCAGGCTGTTCCAGGATTGGGACACCCTGGATGAGCCCAGGCTGTTCCTCTGGAGCAGAGAGCTTCAGCAGCCCTTTTTGTCTTGCCTTTTTATTTTCACTGTGGTTCAGAATCAGGCAAAACTACCTACATGTTTGTTTTCAGGTCAGCAGCACTGGTCAGACAGACTGCCAAAACAAACACATTTCCAAGCAAATCCTAGATTTTTCCAGAAAGGAAGCCTAAGCCTGGACTCTCCCCATCAATACATGTATGTGCTCAATGAGTCCTGCCTGCTGGAAGGGACTCAGAGCCAGCCAGCTGAGATCTGAGACACAGCAGCTTCTGTTCACATCTCCCATCTTACACCCACTGTATTATTTTGGTTTGGAGTGGTTTTTATTTCTTCAGCTTCCCTGACACAAATACTCTCCCTCTTCCTGTGTCCCAACCACACTGGGGAACCCTCACCTGCTTGGGAGACATTGGGATAATCTGAGCAAAGCAAAAGCACAGAGAGCACAAAGCATCTGTTAATTAGGCTCCAGGGTACATTCAATCCATTTTGCTTTGGCAAATGGTGCAAGAAATTTCCTTAAGGGGCAGCAGTAAGTGACAAAAGCCATGCTGATATCTGTCACTGTCCTACAGTGGGAGGCACTGAGGAAGGATTGGGCTTAAGGGCCATTTAGAAAAATCTCAGGACACCAGTTTAGATTTTAAATTTTATTTTTTGCTGTGCTGGCAGCAGAGAATTGTGACGTGTCAAAGAGCTACTTTCAGAGTGGTGAGGGAGGGCAGAGAAAGCAGTGAAGGCAGAGGGCCCTCCGCAGGTCAGTGTTCGCTGCTGAGGGTACGAGAGGAGTCATGACTTGAGGTTTTCTCCCCCACTTCAAGGATCCTTCCCATCTCACTACTTGTCTGCAAGGAAGGTGCACACCTGGAGAAGATCTGGAAAGGGAAAGGACAGGGAGAAGTTCAGATCTTGCTTTTATACACTTCCATTCCACCAGCACACACCCAGCCATGCCAACAATGTCACACCATGGAAAATCCACAGTGTGCCACAAAAAAAGGACTTTAACCACAGATCCCACACTGCTGGGTCCAGGGGGGTTCTCTATGCCGTTTCTCAAAGTCCCTATTTTCTAAAGGTGAGGAAAAGTCTTTTATTCACATTGCTGCCAGAGCAGCAGACTTTAAGTCTGTTCTCAGTTCACCCAAGGAACTTTGAGAAAAGAATATTGGCATCTTCTCCCTTTAAAGGCACTGAATGGACAGTTCCAGAAGAAATTGCTCATGCCTGCAAGGTAAGAACTGCAATTCGGGACTTCCTCTGGGGCTGTTCCAGTTACCTGATGGATTGCAGGTGTTGAGGCTGGCAAGTGAAGCATAGTATTTATCTCCAAGGAACTCCTTGTACGACATTCCATCGCGGAGCTTGATCAGGCACTTTGTCCGGTCTTTAAAGAGAAGATCCTTGGATTCATATGCAAACATATTGAAATCGTCTTTCCTGGTTCCTTTTGCTCCAAACAGCTTCTGAAATAAAGGCACAAAGAGGAGAGAAGTAGAAAGCTGGCCTACTTCTTCTTCCTGGTTCTTCCCCATCAGCCCAGGAAGCCCCAAGCCAGGGTCCAGAAATTTAGGATTGAACCTTCTGTCTGTATGCTTAGAGGAGGGAGGCGCTGGTAGGCACATTTCTTGCCCCATTTTAACATGTCCCTATGTGCAGAAATGCTGCCAGCAGGTCCTGTAACTTAACCATGAGTAGAAGCAAAAGGCCCCAGGTGCCTCTCACCAGACCCTGATGGTGGAGCCGATATTAATGTTTGCAGGGAGAAACAGAGACAGTTTAGCCTGGTTCTGCTCAGCTGTGTGTGTGCAGGGAGCCTGCTCTGGGGCTGAGCCTGACCCAGCTGTGGCACAGACCAGGCACCACAAAGGAAGTTCTGATACACCCCAGCAGGAGCAGAGGCCAGAAAGGAGGTGATAAACTCATGTCACACAAGCACAGTGTGCCAGCAGCAACAGCTGCAATCCCACTGGCACCTAAAGGTGCGTTTGCTAAGGTGGCAGAGGAGAAAGAGCACTTGGGAAGGGATGGAGGAAGGAGGAGGCCAAGGGACAAGGCTGTCACCCCATAGCAGTGAGGTTAAAGCTTCCACCTCACGCTGACTTGGGAAAAATCAGAGCAACCTCATAATATTTCTTCTCAGCACTACAAACCTCTTGGTTCTCCAGCATGTCACGGACTTGGGATGCTTTCTCAGGACGTGCCATCACAGCGTGGGTCGGGACTTTGGCCAGGTGGCATTTTCTGTAATCCATGACATTTGCCCGCTGCCCATCAGTGCACAGCAACTCAAATGAGTCCATTTTCAGATCTTTGGCCCAGCTTTCTGTATTTTTGCCTTTAAAGAGAATGGGTTTGGAGATTCAGAGTGCTTGCATAGCAGGAGAACATCAGCCTCAACACTGCCTAAGCAGTTATGCAGATGGGGAAAGCAGCCCTGACCACGTACCATCAGTGTTCTCCTCAACAATGGAATGCTTGATAAAGGCCACATCCCCCTGCTCAACCAGACACCTGGGAAGTAGAAAAAGAGGCCAGTGATATAAGTGCTTGTATCCTGTCCCTTTCCCACAGATTTAATTTAGACTTGAGTCTTATTCTGTACAATTAATCTACAAGAACATCCAGGTCTAGGAGCCCTGCCACAAATATTTTAAATATATCTGAAACACAGATTTTAAGCTCCTTATTTATGTTAAAAGAGGAGCACTTCTGCCAGTGTGGCAGGGCTTGTGCCTCTCTGTGTTTTCCTGGAGGCACCAGGACACGAGTTTTACAGAACGGGGATATTTC